TACAACATAGTTAACCCAAATATAAATGATATAGTGAATAAATAATTTTGAAAAACTGGCATTTTTATAAAAATTGTAAAAAAATAGTATTTTTGTAAAATAACACTTTAAAAGTGGTATTTTTTTTAAATTTTTCAAACTTAAATCAGTTTGATAAGTACTAAATCTAAAAAGGAGTTTCCGTGGACATAAGTACACACAGGCCCGTGCCTAATGTACAAAAATTAAGGCATTTGCCTTGGGCCCCGCATTTGATCACTAAATATTATGGCTCCTAATTATGGAAATTTCAAAATTCTGTTGCAAAATCATACTTATATTTCCACTTTTAGTTTGACTTATTCCCTTGTTACGTTGTATTGAAGGTTGATATTTCCAAATTGTTATAGAATTCTTTCGTTCTATATCACTAATTTCTTTAATCAACATGGCAATTGGTTTTACATTAGTTAAGCTTTATACATATTCCTAATATTAATAATGTAAAAATATTTARGATAATTTAAYAAACTAATGGATAATGAGTTTTAYAAAAAAAATYATAGATATATATTGRTYTTTAACATATTTTACTRTAAAAATATAATATTTAAAACATTAAAATATAACTAAATAAGTTGTATATTCATTAATATAATTAAAATATTTAATGTTTTTGAAATTTGAAAAACAATTTTTTTTTTATATGAATTTCGTCTTGAACCCCTAAAAATGTAGGCACGGTCCTGAGTACACATAGGTATAGCTGGCAAGAAGAAGCATGAGATGTATAAATTTAAGATGTGTTGAATGACGAGGATCATAGTCAGAGGCCCGTACATCTTCCACGTCATCAGAAGAAAGAAAAAAAACTGTGATCTGTACGGTATTAAATAGTGCAGGTAATAAGGACGACTTTTGATATTTTTATATATAAGTCAAATGAACTATCATTAATACAAAGTACGCCTATCAGAACCCACACGATAAGCATCAACCAATTTTCTGCTGAACAACCCCACGTTGATTGATAGGTACGTGAAACTTGCCGTAATTCAAGCGGCGATTACAAATAATAAATAAATTTTAAAATATCAAATACCACCATTAC